GAGAAGGCCAGCACACATGTTTAGAGGTTTCTCCAACAGAGACGCAGTCTGATCCCAGAACCCATCCATTTTGCGTAAGGGATTTTTCTGAGAAACGTGTTGTTTTGGGGCTCCATGTCAGATGTTATCATCTCCGGACATTTTGTGCAGTGCCTCTAACAACCGGTTTTCTTTGACAGGATTGTTCACGGAGCGGCGCCCAATTGCTACCCTTGTGCCAGGGTCTGCGCCAATCTGTTTGAGGTGCTGTTGCAGTACGGCGGCGCTAGCACTCTGACAATCAACGCTGCCCGCGATGCAGACGGCTTTACTGCCTTGATGCAGGCGCATACTTGAGACTCGGGGTGTGGCAAGGTGCTCACGGATCAGGCAACTGTTCTAAGGACCGATTCCCCAGTCTCTTCACCCATTTTCTTTACCAACCACCCACCTTCCTAGAAAATTGCCAAGCCCATCGTTTTTGCTTATATAGGAGAATTCAGAGTTCCTGTCCTAGAGTCCTAGGGACTTGGCCTATGTTTTGAGAAGAATCCCTGAAGAGAATGGGCTAAACGGTAATCTTTGACATCGGCCATTGAGCTTGGCTTCGCAAGAGAGCGCCAGAGAATGTGTTTCCATGTTGGGCCTGGCCAAAGAAAGTTCTCTGAAACGCATGTGCACGATGAAGGTCCCCCAAAAAGAAGAAGAAGAAAGAACACACAACAGAAAACACAAGTCCGATCTGGGGAATGCCGCATGATTACCGCAGCTGTCAGTAGGTTGCATTTGGAAGCGCAGCTTTCCCAATGGGATTGGGATGACCCTATGGTCAGGGCGTGCGAGAAGCGGTGCTGTTGCGAGGGTTGGGGGTTGGGGGGGTGGTGGGGGGTTGGGGGACTAGTTGGGGGTCCAGAAGTCTGGGAGGTGACGGTAAAGCTGAGGCGAAAAGCCTCTCAACTGCCCGTGGTCTTTTTCTTTCTTTTGAGGGAACCTGCTGGGAGAAGAAAGTTAATGAAGGCTCCCTTCCGGAGCTCATGGACTTTAGACTTCTTGGTTGGACGACCGTTTCTGTGGCCAGCGGAGAGTGGTGGTACCTGTTTTTGGCCCAAATCAGGAAGTGGACGCCGGACTTCTGGGATGTGGGCCACAAGAAGGGGCGTGAATTGGGGAACTGTGCCACTCTCGCCACTTGATCCCCTCTGGCAGTGGTTCTGGGTTTACCTGGTGCTTGGCGATGAAGGATGCGTTGCCCCTTTGTGGGTTTGATAGGCTCCTTTGGTTTCAAAACGACGCTAGTAACTGGTTCAAGCTGATCAAAGGTTGCCTGCATCTGCCCTCGCTCGAGCTTTGGGTTGAAGCATGTTGCGTGTAAATCAATGTGCTATCATAGTTCGACAATGGTTGCACGCATGTCTGAACGGTAGCTTCCCCATTGTGTTTAGATATCGCTATCAAAAGCCCGCTGTTGCCCCCAGGCAGCCTGGCGTGGCTTTCCAAAACGATTCGCATCCCGGGTTCAGCATGAGGAAGGTAATGCAAGACACCTCTAGATGCTTCATGGTTCACAACACCAATGGTAGCATGTCGGGATATAAAGCAGCTGCAATTCTGAATGTCAGTGAATCGCAGGGAGGGCTACCGTTAACTCCAGAGTGACAAGTAATGAGCAATTGCCCCATAGCTTTGGTGCAATCAGTTTGGGATTGCGCAGACGTTAAGTTGCATAACAAGGCCCAAGAGAATTCCAAGTGAGACAGAGAAGGAGAACGAGAGAGAGACAGAGAGAGAGACAGAGACATACAGAAACCAAGAAACAAAGGAAGGAAGGAAAGAAGGAAAGCAAAGGCAAGACAAGGACAGAACAGAAAAAGACGGACAACAAACAAATAAGACAGGACGGAAGCAAGGACAGAAAGCAAGACAACATCGAAATAAAGAAAGGGAGTGAGAGAGCATATTGGAGAGAGAGAGGGAGAGAAACAAACACAACGAGGGAGAAAGAGAGAGAGAGAGAGAGAGAGAGAGCGAGAGCGAGAGCGAGAGCGAAATAGAGACCGATAAACATATTTGCACGTGAGGCGCTGCTGCTGGACAACACAGATGCCTCCAGTTGGCTTGTCTCCAACGGCGCCATCCTGACCCAGGCCGATGCATCGCTCCTGAACGCAAGGGGTTTGGCGACTCGGCTGAAAGTTTCGGAAGCATCAGGGCGTGGCCCCGTCTCCTATTGACGAATCTGGGCGTGTGCCCATCTATGAGCCTGGCAAGTTGCGCGCACAGGAAATTCAAAGAAGCCAACTGCAACAGTATCAAAAGGAATTTCATCAAATCCCCTTCCGTGCAGATTCACTAATGCATGTGGCACCTTAAGCAAATGACGTTCACTGGAAGTTACAGCAATCCATTGGCAGTCCATCAGGGTCGCCTTGAGGGTTTGGTGGCTGTGTTGCCTGCTGAATCGGAACTCTTGACACGTTGTGTTGGTTGGTATCTTCCTCATTTGCTTGACTTACAAATTTGAAGCTTGTGGGCTCACCGTGTGCCAAGAGAGGGAGATAGAGAGAGAGAGAGAGAAAGCGAGAGAGGAAAACACCAAAAGAGAAAGGGAAGGAAAAAAGACAGAGAAAAAATAAAGGGGGCGACAGAGAGAGAGAGACAGAAAGAAAGAGAGAGAGAGAGAGAGAGCGAAAGAGAAAGAGAAAGAGAAAGAGTGTGGGCAAACCACCCGCCCATCAGCCCACCCCACCCGCCCCCCCCAACCCCAACCTCGCCCCCTAGCCTCCCATCCCACAGCCGCGAGCGAGGACGTGGCCGCCACAGGCACCTCGCCGGAGGCCGCGGTGCTGGGCCGGGCCGGGCTCCCGTGGACGGGGCCCTCCGCGGAGAGCTTCGGAGGTCTGGGCCAGGCGAGCGCTCGCGCGGCTCGAGCGATCGGAGCGATGGGAGCGGGCCATGTGGCACACGCGAAGTGCAAGGTGACCCGTTTCGGTCTCAAGTGGCCATGGGTCAAAATCCCGTACCCCCGGTGAACATCCCAATCCCCGCTAAAATAGACTAAAATGGGTGGTGAACCTACCCCACAGCCAAGTTGTGCTAGGGCCGGGGTGCTCAAAGTCAGAAAGCTCACCACTTGGCTGACTTTGATCATGGCAAAATAATTGGGCCAGTTGTGCACCTGAAATGAAAAAAAAAGCCACTCAAAACCTTGGTTTTTGAACTAAGTGAGTCTGAGCTATGAGCTATGCTGAGAAGAACTGAAGGCGGTTCCTGAAGAGAGAGAGAGAGAGAGAGAGATATATATATATAGAGAGATAGATAGATTAGGTTTCATCATCGAGCTGTCTTTGCCTCAATTTGGCCATCAGCCCACAAGCAGCCGCCGAACGTGTTTCGCATTGGCAGGTGAGCCCGATGCCAACCACGACTCCTTGGGAGCCATTCGGCGCAAGTGGTTTGAAGCTTTCTTTGCCTCTCCGGCTTGCCACCATGAGCCGTCCTCGGCCTTTGCTTCGTTTGTTTGTTTTTTTGGGTGAGGGCAAGGGGGGGAGGGGGAAGGCGGGGGGGGGGGGGGGGGTGATTTTGCCATGGCTCCAGATGTGTTTTTTTCTTTTTAGATGGAGCTGTTGTAAATGTGTTATTGAAATCTGTGTGGCACAGGGAGAGCCAGACTCTCAGATGCTCACATGCAGTGCGGATTAGAGACCATGCAAGGTGAGCATGAAGTGAGTCGTGTTCATGTGGCTCTTGGAACTTGCTCTTTGTGACGCTTTTTCGGTCAGTGGAAGTAAAACGACCACTTGTTTTTTTTGTTTTAAACATTCTTCGGGCTGTTTAGCTGGAAGTCAAGGTCACCTGTCGTGTGCCTATTTGCGCTCGAGCTTGCCGCATAACCATGTTTGATCCAAGCAATTCAGACGTGGGGCCTTTGAAATCTTGGATGTCTTAGGCTGCTGTGGGTGGATAGTCCAGTAATTTGCTTTGCCATGAAAGACATGGAGTCTTTTGTGCCAGAGGAAGGAATGCAGCAGCTGCTTTGAGACACCTGCCGGACACAAACTCCCAAACCGATCCCAAAGCATCCCAAACATGGTGTGGAAGCACACCGTCAGGCGGCAAGATCATTGCACAGAGGTTTCGACTCACATTTGTTCAAGAAGAAAAGTACTGAGACACCCACCAAAATGGTCATCTATGGGCGACAAAAGCAAAAACTTCTCAGTCGCTTGCTATAGCCTCCGTGCCTGCAGGTTTTCCACCACCACCACGGTGAGCACGACCACGACCATGACGCAGACATCCACCAGCACCTCTACCTGACCGGCACCCGATCCGTCTGTTCGGTCCTCGTGCCCGTCAGCGGAAAGCCATGAGCCCGTGCCGTTTATCGCGGAGGATTCTCGCGGCCACGAAGGACCTCAACCTGCGCCCTCGCAAAGCTTCGGAATGCTTCCGTGACCGGAGGTGTGGCAGCAATACGGCGCGTGCGATGCGCGATGCGACGAGAAGAGGCGTTGAAGAAAGGTGAGCGAGCAATTGAGCGTGTTCAGCCTCTGTGACGGGGGTATCATTTCTGGCTTTGGTGACTGGCTGTTAAAGGAGGTGCCCGATGCAGTATCAAGAAGGGAGCTCACGGCTAGGCCGGCATCTCCGTGCCACATTGCTGTCCGTAATTTGTGATGACTCTTTCGTCATGGAACCCCTGCAGTGAAGAGTTGAAGTACTTTGTTTACAGTGGCTCGTGTGCACGCAGAACTTGGGTCATTAGCCATGCTGCAATTCATGCTTCTGGTGCTTCGGGTTCTCGAATTCATTTCGGGGATGGGTGCTTGAACATCAACATGACTATCTTTGTTGCCGTGGTACTGTGGATGGACGAAATCCTGCACCACTTGGAAACCATGGGGTATTCTCAGGGGAATCATTCCAGGGATTCTTAGGTGGTGCCTAAGAGGATTTTGCCGATCCACAGTATCCTCTTTTCGGCGCGTGACCATGCGACGGCCCTTCCTTGGCCCCGCCAGGAGCGGGAAGAGGAGGAGGCGGAGTTTCGTTCCCGCGCCCTGCGGGTTGCGAGGCGTGGAGCCGCGGAGCTCCGTGCCTGCGGCCTTTTCTTTCTTTGCTGCTGGGGCTGCCCTTGAAACCAACCAAACTTGGTCCCTGTTTTGTCCCTCAAGAAAAAACCAACAAAGAGTGTGCACTTTGTCCCTCAAGAAAACATGGATGCCTTCTTGTTTTGTCTTTGGCGTTGGCCACTGAGAAAAGGTCCGTGTTTGGATACTCCACCTTGTCCGATGTGAGACATACCCCCCCAAAATGCCCTTTGGTGGTTTCAAGATCACACGTTGGGCCATTTCAAAGTGATTCTGCTTCAAATCAGCTTGGGGCTCCAGCTGAAGGATCCAAATCCTTGTAGATCAGAGGTGTTTCTTAGATGCATCATTTCCGGAGCACGGCCTCTACGAACAGCTGAGCCCCTTCAACCAATTCCTCAGTGGGGACGGTTACTTCGGCCGAGTGGAAAAGAGGAGCACGCACAAAAGGACATCCCACCAGCTGAAGGAAAGGCCCATGCGCTGTCGGGGGATTTTTACCACGGCGCCTTGCCATGGTTGTTGGGAATCAGGTTTCCCACTTTTTGCTTATTGTGGTCTAGTCGGAAATCCCCACTGAACTGCTAAAAAAAATGTTTTTGGCTTCCCTTCCAACGTCAACCAAGTATTGCATGTTCCAGGCGGCATTTGCTCAGCCAAGTAGGCAGTTACCCAAATTCTCATGGCTCACGTGATGTTCAATAGATATGTTCCCCCAATTCTCGCCTGTGGGCTGTGAGGGACCTCATGGGAATCTCGGCGTGCCTTTTCCTGGTCGGTTGTTCGGGGGTGTGCCCTTAGTGGGGATTCCGACCCGGGGTTGGTCCATATTCCTGGCCCCAACTGACCATGGGGAAGTTTGCCCGTTTCACACTGCCAGGCGTCAGCTCTGGCGAGACCGCGCCGTGCGGCGGAAGCACGCGCCGCCCAGCAGCAGTTGAACTTTGGTTTCCTGAAATTCACGGGGCATCAAGCCAAAAACGACATGTGGCAAACAGAAGGCAAGAGGTAGGATCCATATGGGCGTGGGCGTCTGGACAGTTGGAAAAGAGCCGTTATGGAGGAGCTCTGGCTGCTTTTGAATTTCGGGTTGTTTCCTAGGGAATCCCTGGGTTAACTGGTGGTTTCCTAGAGAACCTCTGGGTGGAACGCAAAGGAAAACTGTGATTTCAAACGTCTCCCTATGTTGACGCATAGTTTCGCTCGAGGCGAAGTCCGGTGGTGTCGCCTCCGGCGGGGGAGCTGCAACGCGGTTGCAACCAGCAGTCCTTCAGTGGGTGGTGTCCTTGTGGTTCCCTTTTAAACCCATCCAAAAAGAGAACCCTCAAAAATGGCATGCCAAGATATGCTTTGCTGAAAGCCGGAAGGAAAAGGATGATTCTCCCAAATTTCCAGACAACCCACCCAAATAAAGCAATCGGTGCCCTGCAATTCACATGGAACCCACAAGCCAGCTACCTGACTCAGCTCTTCCAACTGTTCGGCTTGTTTGGCTTCATTCGTGCTGCTTTCCACCAGCAAGCAGTTGCCTGGTACTGTCTTTAGTCTGCCTGCCTGCCTGCCTGCCTGTTTGCTTGTTTGTACGTTTGTATGTTTGTTTGTTCATGTTTGTTTGTTCATGTTTGTTTGTTTACGCGCTTGTGGTGTGTATGTGTGTGTGTGTGTGTGCGAGTGGTGTGCGTTTGCTTTTGTGCTTACTTGCTTCGCACGCGCGCATGGAAGATCTTATGGCAGATTGGCGCCGCCTGGACCTCCAGCGTACTGAGTGCTCTATCCACAGGTACTTGTCATGCTTCCATTGGCTTCCTGGTTATCCAAAGACTCCTTTGTGCCCTTCCATGATTTAGATCCCTTCAACATGCACCCAGAAAAAGAAGGGGAAAAACGCGACGACCAACAAACAAGTGGATGCAACCCGCCCAGATTTGGCTGAGGCGCAGCCAGCTTGCTGACATGTACGAGGAGAAGAGCCGAGCGCCCAGGGCCAAACTCGGCTTGCCCAAGTGCCTGATGCGAAAGTCCCAAAAACGAAAAAGCACATAGCCGTGCAGGAGCGGCTTATTGGGATCCCTTAGGTCAAGGCGATATCCACGGTGCAGATAAGCCAGGTAAGAGAGAGAGAGAGCGAGAGAGAGAGGTCCAGGTGTGCTGTGGGCTTTGTTTTGGTCGAACCTTCCGGTGGCCACATCCGCCCGTTCTTCGCTCGGAGGCACGCTTCTGGAGACCATCGAAGAGCTATGGGCCCAGCGTTGCGCATGGCAGGATTTGGCCTCCGGCATTGATCCCTGGTTGGTCCAATAGCCTCCTAGTCCTGCTTGTCTACTTGACTTGGTGTTGGAACACTCTCATATTTATGCGTCAAGTTTTTGCTATGCTGGGATCATCATTGAGGACCAGCCTGCTAATGACCAGGCCAGCTTCTCTTGCAGAAACCCAGTTCGTGGTTCTGGTGATTCGCCCTCCAAGTTTACATTCAAAAGGGCCGTTCACAGATGTGCGATCTGGTCATTGTGAGTTTTGAGTGGCATCGGGACCATTTGGCTCCAGCTCTGTCCTTGACATCTCAAGATATGTTCAGCATGAGGTTCTCATTTGATTCAATCAGCGTAGACTGGTGACTGATATGGGACAGCCAAAAAAGCACAGGGTGGAATTTGAAACCTGGCGTGTTGCTGAGGCGCCGGGCAGAGCTGGCCAACCTGCAGAAGCAACAGCAGGCGGCAACCATTTTGCTTCCCTCCAATTGATGGTTTGGTTTGGCTCGGTGGTCAAGGAGGGGTAAACCCAAATTCCCCAAACCACCAATGCACGTCAATTGAGGGTAAGGTGAATTGGAGACAAGCATTGAACATGCAGAGAGTTGTTGGAAGACCATCAATCTACCAGGGCCTTTGTTTCCTATTTAAGAGGGTACCAAGCTAGCTGATTTAGCTCACAGGGCCTTGCTTTTGACATCCCGTTTAGGAAAAGCAAGAAGGGCGGCCAGGAGTTTAGACATCCTCACTTTATTCCCACAAATGGGGAACCCCTGACTCAGGGTTGGACTTCCCTTTGAGTTATTGCGAGTGAAGTTGGGAATATGTTACAAACAATTTGGACACGGGTGAGTTGCACGCCACTAAATGTGGGTTGTTGCACCATGACTGGCTATACTGGATCATTTAAGATGGTTTGTTTGTTTGCTCGTTTTGCCTGCCTTGTGCTTGGCAGCCTTCCCACGGAGTAAGCAGGGGCACGGGCACCAAGCTCAGTTAGCCGTGACCAGCCAATACGTCAACTTGGGATTAGTTTGAACAACCAGATCAGTCAGTGGAACTGGTTTCAATTCATGTCCCCCCACCCCAAACCAAAACAAACAAAAACAATCGCCTCCGGAGGGGGACCGGGACCACCCTTCGTGTGGTCCTTCGGAAGTTGACATAAGGTGGGTGCCGATGGTTTAGGCTCGCCTGTTTTGTTTGGGTCCAACGTGGTCAATAGCTGGCAAAGAAACAGACAACCAACGATCCAAGCAGCCTCTGCTTGACGTCGTTGTCCCCTTGGAGTGCCTTTGCCTGTGAGCATTTTGTCATCAGATCGGGTCGGTCGTTTCGTCTCAAGGCCGGCTGAGGTCGCAAACAGACATGCGATTTGAGGTGCGACTGGAGCAGCATGTTTTGTGAGTTTGGATATGACATGGGGGCAGCTTGCTCCAACAATCACATGTGCAAGGGAATCCATTTGATAGAACCCCTTCAACGAGTCTGCGAATTTGATGCCCGGTGCCCGGTGGCAGGCGGTGCGCAGCGAAATTGCGCTGCCGCGCGCTCAGAGACAAGGTGTTCGGCTTTGAGGGTACCCTTGCTGGCTTGGCTTAAGGGGAACGAAAAGGAAACTAACCACTTTTTTTGTTCCCTCGGTTAAAGACAAACCCGCATGGTAGACACGGCATGCAACTAGAAACTTTAGAGCCTCCGGCTCAGTCCGCCGACATTGTCCTCTCCCTTTTCTCCTTCTTCCTCTCTTCCTTGTCTCCCTTGTGTGTTCTGTCGTCCTCTCTCCCTCCCTCTGCTCCCATCCTCCCCATCCCCCCAAGCCTCTCTCTCCCCCATCTCCCTCTCTCGTATGTATGCATGCATGTACATAAGTATGTATGTATGCATGTATGTATGTATGTATGTATGTATGTATGTATGTATGTATGTATGTAATGTAAGCAAGTAAGTAAGTAAGTGTATGTATGTAATGTATGTATGTAATGTAATGTAATGTAATGTAATGTAATGTAATGTAATGTAATGTAATGTAATGTAATGTATGTATGTATGTATGTATGTATGTATGTATGTATGTATGTATGTATGTATGTATGTATGTATGTATGTATGTATGTATGTATGTATGTATGTATGTATGTATGTATGTATGTATGTATGTATGTATGTATGTATGTATGTATGTATGTATGTATGTATGTATGTAATGTATGTATGTATGTATGTATGTATGTATGTATGTATGTATGTATGTATGTATGTATGTATGTATGTATGTATGTAATGTAATGTAATGTAATGTAATGTAATGTAATGTAATGTAATGTAATGTATGTATGTATGTATGTAATGTATGTATGTATGTATGTATGTATGTATGTATGTATGTATGTATGTATGTATGTATGTATGTATGTAATGTATGTATGTATGTATGTATGTATGTATGTATGTATGTATGTATGTATGTATGTATGTATGTATGTATGTATGTATGTATGTATGTATGTATGTATGTATGTAGTATGTATGTATGTGCATGTATGTATGTATGTATGCATGCATGTATGTATGTATGTATGTTTGTATGTAATGTATGTGAATGTATGTATGTATGTATGCATGCATGCATTCATGCATGTATGTATGTATTTCCCGCAAAAAACACGGTTTTTCCAGCGTTTTCGCAAAGAGGACGTCCAAAAACATTGAGTTTTTCCAGATTTTCGGCAAAAGGATGCAGGAAGCCCAAGCCAGCAAAAAAGCCGGCAGGGGGAATCGAGTGGAACGTCATCAAATTGCCGCGCGGTTACGTGGGGGACCCCCCCCCCCAAAAAAAACCTACGTAATAGACGTCGGGCGGGGGGGGGGTTAGGGGGGGGGGGGTTATCCTCTATCCTCTAGTAAGTATCCGACACGCCGAGCAATGTCGGCGGATTTGAACGGGACATTCTCAAAGGAAAACATGGATGCTCTCGTTCTGTCCAGGCCCATATTTGATTGCCAATTTACTGAGCAATCATTGCCAATCATCACCCATCAAGCGGATGTCATAGAAATGAGATCGACAAATCAAAAGCGCTCCATTTCTTTTCTACCGGGATCTTTGGGCATGCGGGGCGGTGTTGGAGAAGCACCACGGCAATTGGGAACCAGTCGACTGGGGATGCAGCGGTGTTTGCCTGCGCGCAGGCTCTCTCTTTCTCTCTTTCCTTCTCCCTCCCTTTCTCTTTCTCTTTCTCTTTCTCTTTCTCTTTCTCTTTCTCTTTCTCTTTCTCTTTCTCTTTCTCTTTCTCTTTCTCTTTCTCTTTCTCTTTCTCTCTCTCTCTCTTTCTCTCTCTCTCTCTCTCTTGTTTGTTGCTCTTTTTCTCTGGGGGGGAGGTTGGCTGCTTCTCAACAGAAGCCCTGGACAAATCAGGCCTTTGTCTTTTTCGGAGAGCCCCATCCTGTCTCAAGCCAGGTGGAGCCAGCGAGTCACCGAGCTGGAGGCGGTAAGCCATGGCTTTCAGTCGCCGCGGATGGTCTGAGCCAAGCGAATACCGCAAGTTCCCATGCGGTTGTTGTTGATGTCCATGCGACTCCACTGAGTTGGTTGTGGTTGAGGTGTTTGGCAATGTTGTGCAACAAATCAAACATATGAATCCACTGAGTTGATCCATCCGGGATCCGCCAACGCTGGCAGGGTGCCTCTCTCTTTGCAGAAGTTTGGCACAAGTGCGGCGTTGTTGGTGTACCAACCTCGGTCAAAGCAAAGACGCACTCGGCAAAGAATCCATCGTTATGCTTTGAAGCACTCCGCTTCCAGTGAGCACAGCATGGATTCAAAGTGGATTCTCCGATAATTGCGCATCTCAAGTCGAGCTCATATCCGAGACTCTTGACTACAAGTGAGGACGGCGACCTTCAGGCTGACAGTAAGCACTTAGTCAGGGGATTACTCATCCATGCTGATTTTGTTTTGTTGATTTCAGACACCCTGGCTCTCAGAAGAAACAAATGATCAACGTTGGCCCATTTGGGCGCTGGCTCCTTGAAGTTGTGTTCCAAAGAGCATGGGGGGGTTGCTGACGACCTAGTTGCTTAATTTCCCTTGTTGACCAGGTCGGACAACAGGCTTTTTGCCGGGCCCTCTCATGATGCATGGTTTGGCAGGAACCTGCGCACTGTCCAAGAGGACCATCTTGGCAGCTCGCAGGTTGGTTCAATTGCCCTGACTCCCGTTCATGTCCTTTGGCATTCATGTCGGAAGAAAGAAGCCCCAGATGATGAATTCGAGGGGCCGAACCTGATGTATTTGCAAGCGGTCAACATATTCGTTGTTTTCCACCGCAATGTCCATTAAACCACTAAAAGTTAGTCACTTTTAGCAGGGGAGCAGAAAGCGAGGCCAACGATTCCCGGTTGCATCGGGCCTCTTCTCGCTAGGCCAAAGCGGTGGACGCCCGGCTCCAGGCCGCCCCGCAGGCCGAAGCGAGCGGTGGACGCCGACCGTGGGAATTTCAGGTTGGCCCGTTCCCCTCACTGTTGCTAGAAAGTTGTTTGTTTTTGTATTGTTTTGTTTTGTCTTTGATTCTTCCGACTTGTTGTGTGTGTGTGTGTGTGTGTGTTTGTTTTGTCTTTGAGTCTTCCGACTTTTTGTGTGTGTTGTGTTTTGTCTTTGATTCATCCGACTTGTTGTGTGTGTGTGTGTTTTGTTTTGTCTTTGATTCTTCCGTCTTTGTGTGTGTGTTTTGTTTTGTCTTTGATTCTTCCGGCTGTTTGTGTGTGTTTTGTTTTGTCTTTGATTCTTCCGACTTTTTGTGTGTGTGTGTGTGTGTGTTGTTTTGTCTTTGATTCTTCCGATTTTGTGTGTGTGTGTGTTTTGTGTTGTCATTGATTCTTCCGACTTTTTGTGTGTGTGTGTGTGTTTTGTGTTGTCTTTGATTCTTCCGACTTTTTGCGTGTTTGTGTTTTTGTTTTTGTCTTTGATTGTTCCGCGGAACAATCGACTTTTTGTGTGTGTGTGTGTTTTGTTTTGTCTTTGATTCTTTCGACTTTTTGTGTGTCTGTTTTGTTTCGTCTTTGATTCTTCCGACTTTCTGTGTGTGTGTGCGCGTGTGTTTTGTTTTGTCTTTGGTTCTTCCGACTTTTTGTATGTGTTTTGTTTTGTCTTTGATTCTTGCGACTTGTTTTGTTTGTGCTTTGTTTTGTCTTTGATTCTTCCGACTTTTTGTGTGTGTTGTGTTTTGTCGTTGAGTCTTCCGACTTTTTGTGTGTATTTTGTTTTGTCTTTGATTCTTCCGATTTGTTGTGTGTGTTTTGTCTTGTCTTTGATTATTCCCACTTTTTTTGTGTGTTTTGTTTTGTCTTTGATTCTTCCGACTTTGTGTGTGTGTGTGTTTTGTTTTGTCTTTGATTCTTCCGACTTTTTGTGTGTGTGTGTTTGTTTTGTCTTTGATTCTTCCGAAATTGTGTGTGTGTGTGTGTGTGTTTGGTGTTGTCATTGATTCTTCCGACTTTTTGTGTGTGTGTGTGTGTTTTGTTTTGTCTTTGATTCTTCCGACTTGTTGTTTGTGTTTTGTTTTGTGTTTGCTTCCGACTTTTTGTGTGTTTTGTGTTGTCATTGATTCTTTCGACTTTTTGTGTGTGTTTTGTTTTGTGTTTGATTCTTCCGACTTGTTGTTTGTGTTTTGTTTTGGCTTTGATTCTTCCGACTTTTTGTGTGTGTGTGTGTTTTGTTTTGTCTTTGATTCTTCCGACTTTTTGTGTGTGTGTGTGTTGTGTTTTGTCTTTGATTCTTCCGACTTTTTGTGTGTGTTTTGTGTTGTCTTTGATTATTCCAACTTTTTGTGTGTGTGTGTTTTGTTTTGTCTTTGTTTCTTCCGATTTTTTCTGTGTTTGGTTTTGTTCAAGTCTAGCCGGGGGCTGCAAAAACAAAGTTTTTGCTACCGTGCCAAGAGTTGTACAGTTCCCCTCTCACGTTGCTGTGGCTCAGGCCAGATGCTTTTGTAAGGAAGAGGAAAGGAATCTCCAAACGGCTGGTTTGTCTCAAAACAGTTTGCCTCACAAGGCGTAATGATTGTTTCAAGCAAAATGGTACATAGTCCCTTCTGACTGCTTGGTGTTCCTTGCTTCTGTTTTTTGTGCATTCGCCACAAGAGTCCTTTGCTTTGCAAACGCTCAAGAGTGGTCCAGAGAAACGGGACGGGGGTGACGGTGGGGTGAGGGATGTGCTTTCGGTTCTATCTTTACCAACCCAAGGGGTGTTCTATGGTGCCTTTGGTTGCTTCCCTTTAAAAGTGCCAAGCAAACAAGAGACAACAAAACACTTTGAGGACCAACCCATCAAGACACCTGATCATTTGCGTCGTTCCAATTCTGAGGGGGCAACCGGCGCATGAGCCTCACGGACAACACCTTTGACCAAGCAGTATGTGAAGAAAGGGACATCGCACAGCAACATGCATTAGAGAATGTAGCAAGACTGTTTAGGTGCACAATTAGGTCTAGGTTGGCAAAGAAACAGACGGAGTCCCTCAACTTGTTGGGGGAGCAGAGAAAACGGTTTTGTTCAAATTCGCCCCGACCTGCACCGACCCCATCTTTCAATTCAAAGAGACGCTGCATCAAGCAAACGTAGTGTCGAAGCAGATTGATCAACACATGCAGGCTTGTGCTGGTATGCTGCGCGCAGAGTCCATGCCAGTGTTGGTGCAGTCTCCCCCGGCGCCTTGACAGCAGTCTGGAGGCAGTCTGGAGGCATATGCAGTGAATCATGGAGTCATCCCCGCAAACACAGCCAGGGGCTATTACAGGTAGGAGGCTTGCCCCCCACAGCGGCTGCCACTTTGCATTGGTGATTGGAGTGTGCTTATGTCACGTAGGTTGGTTAGTTTGCTGGAACATGGGTAGGCTTTGGGTGTCCGGCTTGTTTTTGGGTCAGTTTAGGTACATGGGATCATTCGCGCAGGTTTCAGCTTGGATCGTCCTGTTGGTGCTCAGTGAATCAGGGAATGAACGCAGGGATTCCCTTAAAGAAAACCACCAGTTGGATGGTTTAAATCATTTCTCATTCTCTGTCTAACGCGCCAGCAATTCATTGGCACCCAGGTGCGCCCAAACAGCTGGCTCCCGCCCTGGGCAGCGATGCCGCCGCCGCCTGTTCACATCCCGGCGTACACGGCGCCGCTGCAGGTGCTGGCCAAGGTTGTGTTAAAACATGTTGTGTTTGGGGTGCGTGTGTGTCAAGATAGGGATTTGGACCCCAAAGTCTGAAAAGGGTATCCTCGAAAATCACAAATCCACATGTTTAAGCAAGTTCCTTTTGGTTGAACTTGAATACTGTGGACCAACGCCACGTCAAACCAGACATGGATGAAACCCGTGGCATACACCCCCAATCCCACCTAAGTGGATGTCATTCCACGTGGGGCAAGGTTTTGACCAAACTCGGAATTGGGGGAGGGGGGGGCGATAGCTGGAATTCCATTTCCCTATCGGGAATGCTATATGAAATTGGGTCCCCGGACCCCCCATCCCCCTGGCCCCCCTAAGCTTGCTTGCCGGTTCTCAGCAGGGGATGATACTTGGAATGACCCCTACAAACTTAAGCCATCCTGCAGGGTTTCCTTAAAGGAAATTCCATAACCTTCGGCATACCTCACTATTGTACACGTACCTTTCAATGCGCATTTCCTGTAGTTTAAGGGACTTGGAATGACCCCCGTAAACTTAAACCATTCTGTAGGGCTTCCCCTTCAGCAGGGAATGATGGCATCACCGCGGTTTAAGCCATCCAACTGGTGATTTCCTCTAAGGGAATCATTCGCAAGACCCTCACCGGTCTCTCGTTGGCACCTGGCAGGGCTTGAGCTCCAGCCCCGGCCGCGTGCAGACGGTAAGGAGCTTCACCTCCCCGCGCCAGGCACGGGGTTTTCCGGGTTTTCGCGGGTCGTGGGACCCTCCCGGCCCGGTCAGCGAACTTTGGGGCGCCCCATGTTTTCGAGTAGCTTGTAGTATATTTTCCTTTTTTCAAGTAGTTTGTGTGGTTATGTGTGTTTTTTGGGTGTTCTTCTTGTTGTTTTGGTTGTTGCTTTGTGTGTTTGGGTAGTTGTGCTCGTTCCAGCCTGAGTTTGTAAGCGGGCATGGCCAAGCTTGCAGGGTGCTTGGCGCGGTGCCTTGCATTCCGGCGCATGTGCGGCCTTGGTTCGACAATCTTCCCCCCATCCCAACCCCCCCCCTTCCCCCCACCCCCACCCACACTTTGAACCCCTTTGGCAGTGGTCCTTTTGGAAACACCTACCCCTTGCCGCTACGGGTTTTCTCTGAAGCCCAGATAAATTTGTCACTCTTCTCTTCGAAGTAGGGTAAACTCGGGATGCCGATGTCTTTCACCGGTTGCCACCAATTATCAATATGCCCGGCTTTGGTCCCGTACTCCTGCGAAGTGCTTTCCTACAATTACTATAAAATGATGCCCTAGGGTTCAACCCCCAGTAAAAAGGATGTGTTGACCCAATTTGGATGATGCCAGTCCTTAGGTAAACCATGTTGGTTACACACGCCCCCATTTGGTCGTTTTAGTGGCTTATATCCCAGGGTGATGGCTGACGCTGATAGTCGGCAATTCTTTGGTTACACTTCGCCCCAACCGAAATTCCGCTTGAGGCCTGGAGCCCGGGGGGGAGCCTAGTGCTTCCCCCGGGCCCGGGCCATGTGATGAGCCCCGGCAGCAGCCTGTCCTTGCAGCCGGGCAGCATGTCCTTGCCGGGTGGCATGCAGGCGTGCAAGCCCGGGGGGGGGAGGAGGCCGGTTGAGGGGTTCAGCCAGCAAACCATCACCCTAGACGTTTCGATGGGCCTTTGGTTCAAGTTTTTAAAAATTGAGCCGTACCAGTTGCAGCTTCATAAATCGCCTTTGCGAGGGTCCGGATCAATTCCAGTCTTCTTTGGTCCTCTTGAGTCCTCTTCCTGTCAATGCGCACAGCAATAGGAGAGTGAAAGGGATAATTTGTTTTGTCAGCATGCTTCCAGCGCTAGAGAGGGCCATGAGAAACCAACATGTCGTTGTTAGCTTTTAGGGGGGCATGCCCTTGCAAGCTTGTCAATCCTTGATTTTCAATCAACATGCAGCAAGATATGTGTTCTTTCTGGAAGGCTGGTTTTTAGAGATCTGTCCGTGGAGCTCCAAAAGGAAGTAGCGTTGGAAACCGTATTCGCACTAGCTTTGCCTCGGCCTGGGCCTATTTGACTTCGAGGGCTTCCTTTGACCTCCGTTCTTATTCCAGGGCGGGCGGGGAAGCTGGGCGTCAGCTGCGTGAACGTGTCCGTTTGGCACTGAACTCCTGAAGGATAGCCACAGCCGTAGTCCAAGGCCAAGGGCCTGGGGCTAGCCTTTCCAGCGGCCGCAGCTACAGCCACATCCTGGGCACAAGGAACTAGGGCCGGGCTGGCGCTGCAGAGCCAGAGTCCAACTGGCGCTTGGGCAGCTAAATCTCTCAAGGGGCTGGGGCTAGTGGATCTGACCGCTGCTTGGCCCTGAGGCAGTTGTTGGATTTTCGCTGGGGTGGGGGCGAGAAAGGTTTCGCTAATCGGAGTGCTTTTCAGGGGTGAAAGGGAAGAGTGGCAACTAAGTGTTCAAGCCTTGTCTTAAATGGAAAATAGGCTTGGTGAGGGGGTGTGCGGGGAGCGGGTTTAGTATTGCTCGGGACATAATCAGGCCAACGTGGACGCTGCATTCCAACTTACAGCAAGCTGAATCAAGCATTTACCCTGGCAAGCTCCAACATTTTGTTGACCAAGATCCCGGGGCAAAGTTAATTACGGAGGCCGGCCGCCTCGTCTCTCGTTGAGAGTTTGGGAGGAGGAAAGTTTCTGTCAAGATCCTCTCATGTGAGGAGCTGACACTACGAGCTCATTGGGAGGGTATGTGCTGACATCAAAGCAGAGGTCGCCAATTCCCTTCTTGTCGCGCATTAATCGGCCCATTGGTAGCAAGGCTTCGCAAACGGCCAGGTGCGCCACTATGGCATGGCGGCTCGGACTGCACGAAAGATGACGTTCCTTCAAAGATGATCTGTCTGCGTGACAGCATGGCGTTGTTCTGTGTAATGGGGCTTTGGCGGCAGCTGAAGTCAAAGTTAGAGTTCACAAAACCGTGGCACGCCATTGTTGCTGAGGTGAGGACCGCGAATAGCTTCAGTGCAGGCGTGGGATGCAAGGGAGGGTCGGGACAGCTTGGCACGCACAGTTTTGTGCCGAGAAGCCCTTGTACGCTTGGCACGCTCTGTGTGGATCCCACACCAGACAGAGCTTTGCGCGCCCTATGCCCAAGTTAGTCAGATTCGAAAAAAAAGAAGAGAAAAAAAGCATGCAGGTTTGGGCTGGATACTCGCAAGGAAAGAGGAACACCATGTATGTGTGTGTGTATCAAAATCATGGGGCCCCAAAAGCACCAACCATATCGCAGATTTATTGGCACCCCTGCCTCAAAGTGTAGAATCCATTGTGTGAGGCCAACTTAAAGTTTAGCGAACCACGGGTCAAACATGCAAGCCCTTCTTCTGTTTGTCTGTCTGTCTGTCTGTCTGTCTGTCTGTCTGTCTCTGTCTCTGTCTCTGTCTCTGTCTGTCTCTGTCTCTGTCTCTGTCTCTGTCTCTGTTTCTGTCTCTGTCTGTTCGTCCGTCCGTCCGTCCGTCTGTCTGTCTGTGTGTCTGTGTGTGGAGTTGTGTTTCTGTCTCTGTCTCTGTGTGGTGTTGAAGGTACCCTTTTTGGAGCCAAAGGAATGTCACCATTTTAGGGGGTTCCCCTATTTTGCCACACTCCCGAACTGCCGCGAACTAATGCTGTTCCAATCAGAAAGGGGCCTTGGCTTTGTCGCTAAAGGGGCGAACGCCGTCTCGTGAGTAAGGGAAACCGGAACACGGGAATGAAGCGCCATCTAGGCCTAGGGCAATGGTTTGTGACAGCTCAGGGTTTAGCCTTCTGAAAGCAGGATGCATGAAGTGGCCAGCATTTGCCACTCACACTCACCAAATGCCATGGAGAGCATGGTTCGCCAAAGGCCCTCTCGCACCACGACATTTTGAGCTTTCCTCATGTGGGTGTGGGGCAAAATTAAACCACCAGGGGACCGCAGATTTGAGTCCTTGGTTCCATTTACCAGGCTTCTATTTTGGGTATGCATTTTTGACCCACAGTCATGTGTTGACCTCTTCACCGCGTCTTCTGTTCATTCGCGATACTTCTCGCAGCGGTCAGGGCAGCTGCCCAAAGCAGCGGCGATGTCGCCCTCGCCTTTGGGGCAGGCGCTGTCGAGAGCGCGCCTCATTCGCTTCAAATCGCAAAATATCGCCTTGCCGTATTGGACAAGAAGTGGCACCAATCTCAATTGAATGTTCCCTTCCGTTGAAATCGGTCGGTATTTCTGCAACAGACCTGGTCAACAATGCAAGCTGCTTAGCGATGTGGGATGTGGCCTCCTTTGCTCTCATGATGCCACTTTGAGCCAAAGTTGCCGAGTCAGAGAAAAGTCACAAAGACATCACAGCCCCACGCAGTCGATTTCTCACGACTTTGGTCCTGCAAAACACATGGGTACGGGTCAAAATAGAAAACCACCAGGGGACCGCAGGTTTTAGTCTTTGGTTCCATTTGCCAGGGTTCCATTTTGGGGTTACCCTATTTTTGACCCATAGCCACATCCGTTCTTGTGGTTTCTTGGGTCACATCTTTCCGCTTGGCGTTTTGGCCAGTGCCAGGGCGGCGGCTACCGGCCAGGCGCGGGAGACGAGAAGTGTATGGAAGGGGAACGGTTTTCAACTAGATGACCCTTCCCCATCTACATGGCTGGTGCCCTGTTTTTTAACGGTGCCCAAGAAAACCGATAGCAAATCAACCGTTTTTGCGGCCCCCCCCCCCCCATGTCTTTCCTTAGTGGGTGCAGTATCAACCTGGGGGATCTATAGCATCGAAGGCCCGCATCTCCCTTGTCGGTTGGCTGCTGCTGGCTCAGATGATGAGACCACTGACGCACACTTCCATTCGTTTAGGGAGCAGTGGAAGGTTCGCAGACTACGGCTGGGTGTCAACTCTGTCGGCAGCACTACTTGAATATTGAGTCATATTACAGGTGCAGTAGTGCTATCACGTGTGCCGTGTATGAAACTTGCAGAGTACAACAAGGGCTGCTACCAGAGTTGAAGATGATGTTCTGATTTTTGTCCAGTGCCTCAGAGCGACTGTTGCCAGGGCATTGTCGCAAGGGGTCGCAAGAGTGGAATACCAAAGGGACGAAAGTGATCTAGACAGGCAAGCGTCAAGAGGTTCAGTTGCATATGGACTTGTGTCTGGCTGGGTGGATACACGGATGGACCCGCTGAAAAGATTGCAGCTTGCGTGATTGAGGCTGGTTCTGTTTTGAGCAGATGGTTTCCTAGAACTCAACATGACAACTTGCCGGCTTCGAAAGGACTGCTTTCCATGTGTCTCAACGCGTCTTTCATTTTGTGAAGTTCCATATTTGGCACTCTTGTCGTGTCTTGAGTGCTGCGACGAGCAGCGGTCCGGATATAAACGATCTGGCGTTCAATTGATGGCACCCTAGCGGCCCCGACGAACGATTTTCGGATTTTCGAGGCCGTTTTGAGTCTTTAGGATTTGTTGGCGTCGGATTCTCCGCATAAAACCCACCCCAGCCCGGGGTATCAACGCCACCCCAGCTGGACGCAAGTCAGGGCTCGGCCTGTCGGCCAGCAGCCCCAGCCCAAGCTCCAGGCCGAGTGGGCCGAGTGGGGCAACACCAATGGGATCCCATGGGGTAGGTGAATTCACCACCCATTTTAGTACCTATTTTAGTGGGGATTGGGGTGGTTACTGGGGGATAACCGGGGTTTTGACCCATAGCCAGATAATTTAAATGATACAAAGCAATGCCCTTCAACGGCTATGCCATTCCCTTGGGCCTCGTTCCAATGTGCCCCCAGTGGGACGGAGTCTCATAAGAGAGAGGCAAAGAAAGAAAGGAATAGAGAGAGAGAGAGAGAGAGACCTGCGGGACCAGGAGATTGCGCGGAATGAGAGAGGAAACATGGCGAATGAGAGAGGACACAAAGATGGCAAGAAGTAACGCCTAGCTCCTTGCCCGTCTTTTTTTAACGTTCCTTCCAGGGCCGGGTCGCCAGTGGCCGGGAGCCTGAGCTTCGGTTGTCGCAAACGGGGCTTGGGGTCTCTCAACCAGTAACAGGTGCCAGCTAAGGATCCAAGTCCTTGTAAAGCGAGGTTGTGGGATGCTTCCTTTATCCGCATGAAAATGATGTCCACGAAAGTGTTCACACAGCTCGCAGCAGTTACGTCGGCAAGAGGTAAAGTTCAGGTTTTAAGGTTTTGTCTTGAGTTTCGTCGGGGTTTGGCCAGCGCACTGTCAGCCTTAGTTTGTTGAGTGATGGTGCCTGCAAAGATCAATATTTGATATTTATACAATTGGAAGAAATAACCACACCGTCTAGACTGACTTCGTCCCTCATTTGGTCAGTGGCACCCTTGAAATCCCTTTTGGTTTGGCGAGGTCCCCACTAGAAGCGGTCACGCCCAAATCTGATCCCTTTTTGAACTGGGTAGCTGGGTCATTCACGTGCTTGAGGCTTGTGCTTCAAGTTTAGGAGCATCTAGGGTTTTGTGGCTGGATGCATTGGCGCCTGTGAAGACTACTTGCCAGCTATCGGCTTGCCCAAGCACATCACAAGTGCGGCCATTGGTGCACGGTTCCATCTAGGCAGCTTTGACTAGCTGTAGTTTCGCCTTGTGAACGGAGGTTCTGAAACCCGCAACAAAGCTGCCATCCGAGTTACCTTGTGTGATGCTGCCATGGGGTCGGGACCGGAGGATCCCAGTCGTCACAGCCAACCTTGTGGTTGTTACTTCAGGTTTTTTCTTCACTGTTCTTAGTTGTGTGGTTCTGTTCATTTGTACTGGGGGTTTGCAAGAAACAAAGTTTGTTGCTACCATACCAAGAGTAGAGATGTTTTGTTTGGGGGAAGATCCCTTCCGAGCATCACTTTCCGGTTCCTGGAAGTGCTCTTCCTTTCCCTAGCGTCTCCTAAAACCTTCGTTTTCAATCTTGTTTGTGTCTTAAATGTATTTGCTTGCTTGCTTGCTTGCTTGCTTGCTTGCTTGCTTGCTTGCTTGCTTGCTTGCTTGCTTGCTTGCTTGCTTGCTTGGGTGCTGTGTGGCTGTGTGTGTGCTCACACGGCAGCTCTCTAGGTGCATTTGAAGGTTCGAAAAAGGTGCAAAGAGGGGTGCAGAGTTAATGCAGAGAGAGTGAACAAGGGATGCAAAGGGGGTCCACGGGGATGCAAAGGGGGTCCAGGGGATGCAAAGGGGGTCCACGGGGATGCAGATATGCAGCATAAGAATGACACTTCTCACTTTCTAGCAGAACACATGCCAAACGCAACCCTACAGCATTGAGCTCTTTCTGAGGATGGTAAGTGTTTTTCCCACTATGCGAGAAAAGTGTAGATGGCCGGGCTTGTCAAAACTCTCTCTTATTTGAAGGTACTTTGAAGCATCGCTCAAAATCGGAGCTCGCTCAGAAACGGATAGAGCCAACGCCGCACTAAGTCACTAGGCCTCAGTAGCTGCCTGGATCCAAAGGCGCCGGTTGCCTCTCCTCGCATAGGACCAAGAAACGTTTTTTTTGAACTTGGCCTGTGGGTTTCTGCATGCTCCTTGCAGGCAATTGTTGGTTTAGATTGGTGGGAACTGGGGATTTGAAGCAAACTGGTTCTGGTGGGCAAACGGGAAATCGCCAATCCAAGCCACCAAGCCTCCAAATCAGGGGAAGCTGATCCCTGGCCGCCTGTCGGCCGTTGCCGAGGCCAGAGCCCACATGGTGACTCAGGTGGTTAGAGGCCGCGGTTTTTAGAATCCCTGGGGCCGGGATTTTTTTCTTTGTGAGTTAGAGGGAATGGTTTATAGGGGTCATAGGTGCCCTTTTTGGTTGTTTTGGTTGAAAAATAGATGGCACTGGTTTACCTGGTGGTTTAATCATCTACCAGGGCCATCTATTTCTCCCAAAAGGACACCTATGATAGGGGTCATTCCATTTCTTATTGCCTGTCTAAAGCATCTATTTCTCCCAAAAGGACACCTATGATAGGGGTCATTCCATTTCTCATTCCCTGCCTATCGCACCAGAGGTGTCATTGGGACATCGTTTCGCACGTTTCTGGGGAGTTATCAAAGATCTGCCGGACGTGTTGGGGCCGACCGTAAAAAACAGGCGCATGGTTCAGACGTTGCGTTGGCTCACTTTTTAGGAGCATCGAGCAAGGCACAGGTTTGTAGCGGCAGAAGCTCTCATGTGGAAGCTGGTGCATGCAACAGTCCCTTTGAAAGCCGTTGGCTTCTTCGATGGCACCTTCTTGTGCAATCTAGAGCAGGAATCCTCAGGCTTCCAATGAGAGGCACAAAACAATTCTGTAGCCAACCCAAATGGCGCAAGCACTTTTCCCGAAGTATAGAGGCCTCTGACAGCTTGAGGCTGCTCTACGTGAAACTGGCTCGATGGTACCTAGAGCTAGAGCGTGCTGGGCTTCACTTGTCAGGCGAAGCACGCAAACCATTTTTGCAAGACTCCTGACTTGTATTGCTCTGTTTGGGTTCTGCAACTCAGCAACTGGGCACCCGATAGAGGATTGCAGAGGGGATTGTATAATGGGCTCCCTTTTTTTTTCACCCTCCGAACTTGTTTTTGTTAACCCTTCCTTTTTTTTCAACCCTCAAACCCTGCTTGGGAACCGTCGGCGGGAACCTTGTTTCTCCAACCCTGACAAATCCTTTCTTTTCAACCCCTCACCTTGTTTTTTCACCCTTTGCCTTGTTTTTTTCACCCTCCGCCTTGTTTTTTCCACCCGTGAGCTTGCTTGTTTCACCCCGCAACCTTGTTTTTCTCACCCTAAACCTAAAACAACCTAAGCCTGCCCCGCACCCAACCCAACCCAAACCAACCCTAGGCCCGCCCTAAGCCAAACCTTGCGAACCCTCAGCATCTCTAAATCCATCTCAAACCAGCCAAACACGCCCAAACCCACCCCAAACCCAACCCAAACCCACCCTACACAACACCCCCTAAACTGCAAGCAAGCCAGAAACGTCTTTTGTCCAACCCTAAACCCACCGCAAGCACCACAGACCTACTCGAAACCACCCTAAAGCATACATAACCCACCCCTAACCAATCCCAAACCGACCCTAAACCAACCCTAAACCAACAAGCCAGTCCTGCACCCACCCTAAACCCACCCTATAATCCCACCCCACACCTTAAGCTTAGCCTAAGCCAACAATAAACCCACCCTAAACCCGCCTAAACCCCAATCCCACCCTAATCTAGCCTTAATGCAACCCTAAGCCCAACCTAAACCAACCTGAACAGACCCACCGACCCAAAACCAACCCTTAACCCGAAAACGACCCTAAGCCAATCCTAACCCAATCCTAAACCCACTCTAAACCAGCTTTAACCAATCACGAACCACCCCGAAAACCAACCTTAAACTCAAGCCCAGCGAAAACCAACCCTAAACCAACCTTGCACCCACCCTAAACTCACCCAAAAACAACCCTAAATCCCCACCCTAACAACGCTAAACCCACACTAAACTCAAAACCAACCTAGCCCGACACCAACCCTAACCAACCCTGAGCCACTCCAAAGCAACCTTAAACCAACCATAAGCCCACCCTGTACCAACCATGAACCCATCCTGATCCAACTCTAAGCGCACCCTGAGACTCTAAGCTGAGCTTGGCCCAACCCTAAATCCCTAGGCCAGCCGCAAAACCAATCCACATCCAAGCCTAAACCAACCCCAAACCCCGCCCTAAACCATCCCAGACCATCCCTGAACCAACCTATATCCACGAACAACATACCCTTAAACACCCTAAGCCCACCTGAAATCAAGCCACCCCAAATCAACCCTAAGCCACCCTTGAGCGACCCCAAGCCTCCCCTAGCGCAACCCCAACTCCACCCTAGACATAGACAAACCGTAAACCCGCCCTGAACCAACCCTACACCAACCCTAAGCCAACCCTACAGCCACCACAGACCTACTCCAGACCACCTAAACCAAACACAAACCCACCGAAATCCTGCTCTAAATCTACCTAATCCAACTCTACACCCGAAGCCGACCCCAAACCCACCTCAAACAGATTCTAAGCCAACACTAAATCCACCCTAAATCCACCCTGAAGCCTTTCGACACACGCCCTAATCCCACCCTAAACTAACACCATGTAAATCCAACATTAATCCCAAGCCTGACCTCACCCTAAACCCATTCTAACCCCCCCCTGAACCAACCCTAAATCCATCCTAAACCCGCTGTAGACCCATTCTCCAAGCCCAAAACCACCCTCATCCAACTTTAAACCCACCATATACCCAGCACAGACCTGCTCGAAACCAACCTTAAACTTAAACCGACCACAAACTTGCTCAACAAACCCTACCCCGCCTCTAAACCCTTAAATCCACCCTTCCCATCCGAAACCAACCCTAAACCCACCTACCACCCCCGCCCGAACCCACCCTAAATAAACCCTAAATCCAAAGCCGCTCCTAAACCAACCCAACCCTGGACCGTTGCTTAGTGCAGTTGCCGCAAACTTCGGCCACAGGGTTGGCAAAACAGAAATGGAGGGTTAAAAGGAAGAGGTGGAGGGTCAGAAAGAAAGGGGGGAGGGTTAAAAAAGAAGGGGGGAGGGTTTAAAAAAACGGGGGGAGGGTTAAATAGAAAGGATGAAGGGTTGAAAAAACAGGGAAGGGTTGAAAAAAAAGGTTTGGAGGGTGAGAAAAAAGGGTTCCCCTTGTATAATCTTCCGGGTCACCCTTCCACCCTCCACCCCACCCCACTCCCCCACCCCCCACTCTCCCCCACTCCCCCACCCCCCACCTCCCACCCCACCTCCCACCCCAGCCCCACCCGCCAACACCACCTCCCAACCCCCCGTCCCCTTCCACAGATGCCACGCTTCCCACGGGCGCCGGCCTCAAACGCGTCAGGTGCGTCCCCTAGGCCTTCGCCCAGCTCTGGGCTGAGAGTCGAGCGAGTCGCAGAATTGACGAACGACTCGGGAGCTACCAGAAAGCCGGTCCAAATGGCTATGGTCCCTGCAAAAGGTGGGCGTTCTTTCGTGTTGTTTTGTTTTGGTCTTGTTTGTTTGGGGGGGGGTGGCAAAGGTGGAAGTTGTTTTTGTTTGTGTTGTTCCTTTCTTCTTCTTCTTTTTTTGGGGTGGAGTTTAGAAGTGAGCAACCTTGGCAAAACGTGGGTTTGTCTTTCCTTTTTTTCTTGCGTGGGGGAACATTAAATCGTAAAACTTGTTTTTTCTTGTATGTTTCACTCAACTCTTAGGCTCTCACTTCGTCCCATCTCGCAGGAATGCATCACATCTTTTGTTCATCTCCTTCACCAGCCACATAGTATGCGTCTGAAATTGCATCCACTGCCCATGTTGTTCAGCAGGGTCTCCTTGAAAGATACAGCTTGCCCATTCAAAGCACTACCCTTTCCACCAGACCAACCGGAAGTCGCCTGTGTGGGCGGGGGGGGGGGGTGTACTGATGGTCAGATGGATTTGTGGTAGAACTGCTGTTCAGTGGAATGGTGGAACCTTTGCGGCCCTAACAAGGGTTCGCTGTTCACCAGGGTCACTGGGCAGCTGGGTTTGGGTGATCCTTTGAAGAGGTTTTGTTGGTCACAGTGGATATGGATATGTTAGTGATTGAGGATGCCCCTTTTGGAGGATTTAAAGGGACACCAACGGGAAATCAACCATTCACGGGTGTCTCCTGCTTTGAAGCACACCCAAATACAAAACAATCGCAGTCTAGAGGATTCGCCAAGCCAGCTCGTGATTTGGGAGGATTGGCTCTGGACAGTTGGGGACCGAGGCCCGCTGCAACAGCGTTGATGCGGGCCTTCGCCCGCTGCATGTCGGCAAATGAAAAGCTGCGCGAACGAGCGATGTGATTCGGAGAAGTGTTTGTGCTGTTTACTTGAAATTTCCGGTTGCGTTCAGCGACAATGCCGGATGAAGTTCTTTGACAATGCAGGAGGCTGACGGGATGCATTCAGCATATTGGGCCATTCTTTCCCGTCAACTTTGCTGGGTGTGTTCCGATGGGGACGCTTGAAGCTCCTTTCTCCCTATTGAATTGGTCTGTTGTCACAAGGTCTTCTTCTGCCGTGTCTACTTGGTGGCTCCCAGCCATCCGGTTAGCTTTTTTTAGCTTTTTAAGGTGTTTAGTGGTTGGTTTTCCATTTTTCCAGTAACAGTTAGTCACTTTTAGCGGGGGATCTGAGGACAGCTCAGTCTCCTGCCAAGCACGCAGAGCCTTTTATCGCTTCTCTGGCCCAAGATCGCCATGGAGGCGCCGGGCATGCCTCAGGTGGGGGGTGGGGGGGGGAGGTATGGGGCAAACACCGTTCTCTCCCCCGCTTCGTGGAAGAAGGGTCAAAAGAGGCCAACCCTTATGTTGATTCCGGAGTGAACCTGGCAGGTTAATGATGATTCACTCTTGTTGAAGTGGAAGTTAAGGGGTTCACCTCTGAATGGGGCGCCCTCATATTGACGCGGAGGCCCAGTTGTTACAGACAGGTGTGCTCGAAACCTTTGGGCAACACATGCGGCCGAATGGGTTTTGGGCGCGACCGCTGGAACTATGGCACTGAAACGGAACTCGCGCGGATTTGCACCTGAGTTGCGCGAACATGCGCCCGAAGCTGCGCCGAGTTGCGCTTGAAGCATGGGGCAGGAAAAACGGCTTCAAATCCGAAAGTGTAGTTGAGCACTTCTTTCTGTAGCATTTGTGCCAGGGATCAACCGGGGCCATGCATTCAATTTCCCATACTCAGATTTATCCCGGTCTGAGTTTCGGATCGAACCGCGTGTAGGGACAACGCCTGTGCCAAGTTGTTAGATCAGAGTGTTGCTGCCTTCTTGTGGCTCTTCATTGGCGGCGACATGGGGTATCCATCGTTTTTCGCTCCCCCCAAAATGTGGGTTTCTCTTTAAATAATCCCCTTTCCCTTTCCTTATTGGCTTGGTTCTTCCCAAGTCTCATGGGGCCAGATGGCTATGAAATGAGGCAAACTCCGGAAGGTGGACATGACCCACACATGATGTCCACCAAAAGCCCCGTCTGAAGGTGGACATTGTCCTACCCCCCCCCCCCCAAAAAAAAAAACAACAACAACAACTTCAAAAAGCACCCAAGATCTGCGCATCGCTTTCAGGGCTAGGAACTTCAGTGATTCGCAACCCTGCAGGCCTTCGAGGTGAACAGAACCGCACCTGGCCGCAGCCTCGGAGCTGGGGGGCGTTGGGTGTACCCGTTCGTTGGGTCGAAAGGCCCCGCCTTTTTGTTGGGCGTTAGCGCAAAGGAAAGCGCAATCAGGTGATTGCCGAAGGATTTGGCCAAGACCTCAAAGTCGCTTGAAACAAGAAAGCGACCCGGCAATGGAGCGAACACGCCCTTTGAAGTCAGGAAGGAACCCGGGCCTGGGGGTTAAATGACGCGATTGTTTCCGCGCACCAGCTAGCTAAGCAGGGCATTTGTTCAAAATATGTTCAACATCTCCAAGTCCCTGTCTCGAGTTCAATTCAATACCTAAAAAGGAAACCGAGGGGGACAAGTAAGTTTGGCGCGTTTTTTTCAGAGCCCCCATGTCATTCCAGTTGGGCCCACTCGAATTCCTCAAGCGACATAGTGAGGTTGTGTCTTTGGCCCCTACCCAACGCCGTGAAACGTGCACCTTTCATTTGGGCGAGCGAGTTCCACCCCGATCCTCAGCCGCTCCTAGCAAGTTTGGATGGCCCACTCCTTGGTTTGAGTGCGGGTTGGCAAAGTCAAGGACCGGGTCGTTTTCGCTCTAGCCTGTGGGTGGCTTAAAGGGAGTAAGAAGCGCCAGGCAGAGTGGGATGGAGCTGGACAGCTCAAGAAGGGTTCTTTCGCACACACTCCGTGACCTCAGATGCTGATGTTTTCCCGAACCCTTGTCGCCCCCTCCGTGAGGCGAACCCACTGTGAGCCTTGGCTGCATCCCTTCTGTGCAGAGGAAACCTCAACGACTCAACGGGATTTGTTTGGCGATGAAGAGTGTCTGTGTGTGAGCCCGGGAATCACCCCTCCCCCCCCAAGTTGATTGGCCGCTTGTTATTGCACCCATCGTTCTTTGCCGCCTTCACAGGGACAAGGGGCTTAAAGAAAATTGCAACCATAGGACGAGCGAAGCGATGGATCGAAGTCTGTCCCAGCCGTGAGTCTCAGAGTTCGGAGTCTTTGTTGCGGACGGAGCCTGGCACAAAGGAAGGGGATTGGCAGGCTGCTGATGCAAGTGCCTCACCTATCTGTCTTCCTTCTCCCACCTTCGCTCGAGCGAAAGGGTGGGAAGAAGGGACAGGTGAGGTGAGGGATAGAGAGATGAGAGACGGGAATTGAACTTAGGTGAAGGAAAGTGTCTCACTGAATCTCTTGCAACTTATCCATCTCTCCCCTTTGCTTTCATATCCCTTCCCACTCCATCCCTTTGGCCGTGGGAACTTGATAGGAAAGGCATGAGTCCGTCCTCAATCTTTCTTTCCTCTTCCGTAGTAGGTAGTTTGGAAGTTGTCTGAGACCGAGGAGTAGGCAGCCGCGCTGAGGACCTTACTTGGTGTCAATGGCATGCAGCGTGAGTTTTGAACTGATTTCGGCTTACCGTGTTTTTACTGAATGCACGCGCACCCTAGCATTGAGTCCGGCCGCTGCTGTTGCAGTTGTCCTTCATGAGTCAATGGCTTGATGGATGCCCTGCATCACGCAAGCTCATGCAAGCGGGCAGTAGCAGATCAAGCTTTGGCGCCCTGCGGCGCCCTAAGGTTCTTTCCACCGCCGCCGCCCCAGGCCGGGCAAGGGCGAGAAGCGACTGTGTTTCTGGGCCGGATGCAGATTCCTTTGGTGTTGCATTGCGTGGGGCGTCGTGTTCGGCAGGCTTTATGCGTGCGTTGCTGATCACACATGTGTGTGGGTGTATGCGTGTGTGTGGGTGGGTTTTCCGAATTGCCTGATTGGATCTAGGAGTGTTTGGCATATTCGCTCGCCTTTCAGGGTCTCAGGTACAAGAATACAGCAGCATGAACGAACCGGTGGCAAACTAGGCGGTCCTTGCCAGAAACAGCTGCCCTGTGGCCAGTGACAAGGGTCTTGCAGAACAAACGTGCATCAACATGTTGTTTCTGGCTCTGCGTTGATGGGCAACATCCTTGATTGGTGGTCTTGCCAACGGGAACATTCCCCGAAGAAAGGCTTCGATCTCGCGCTTGCTCATTGCTTGTCCTGGACAAGGATTGGTTTGGCTGGCTGCCCGTTGCCTCGACTGCCATGCTTCACTTCTTGTACTTCTGCGGGTGGACACAACCCTGAACCAGTGGTAAGGGAGTGTATCCAATACGGCTTCATCCATCCCACGGAGTTTGTCCATCCGCTGCGTGGTTTGCTATCCTTTCCTGGGTGGGCACCCCACTGCACGTTGCTCAAAATATAAGGGGCTGTGTCCTTGATGTTTCCCTTGAAACGCAAATTCACAGGGCTTTTGCAGGCTGCCACCCCGAGTGATTGTCAGGCGCCGGAACCCAGGAACCCCTGGCCTGCTTGGCGCCTGGCTTGCGTCTGGTCAGACGCTGGGGTCAGCCTTTGTCCAACAATCTTGTTAGACCGCCATCCTCTTAAGGGTGCACTTCCATGATATGCAAAAAGCGTAGTTCTCTGACAAGTTCAACATGATTCCCTACACTCCTACACGGGCACTTGATTGAGATGACAGCCGCCTGCGAACATGCGTGCCTCATTCGAACCAACATCAGCTGTCTTTCATCCAACGGGCAGTCAGAGTTTGCTCGCGCCTTTTTGAGCATTTTGAGCTCTTGTTTGTCCCATTTGCGACTTTTTCACTTGCTTTCCAGGCCAGTCATGAACGTTAAGCGGCCAGTTTGGCTGGATGGTAGCCTCATGATGTAGGGCGATGCAGCGCTCTGAGGTGTTCAGGGTTTCACACTCGGAGTCAGAGCTCTGAGCAGTGCATGTACTGTGGCCCCTGCATTCAATTCTTAGCGGGAGAGAAGCAAGATGTTGGGTCATGGATGTCACTGTGATGCCACAGGCAGAAGAGTGCGGGTTGTTCCCCTCAGCACATGCTTGCAATGCTCTTGCCACGGAGGTGAAGCAAGATTGATCGTTTTATAACGTGGAGTGAGTGCCACTACCCAGCTAGATGGGCCACCCACGGTGGCCAGAGTTTGGATTTGACCATGGTTTGAACAATGAGCCCAGCAGGTTTTGCCTATTTTGGGATTGTGCCATGTTGTTTTTTTGTTTCAACCATGGCGGATCCCGGATTTGTTCACAATCTTTAGATGTTGCCGTCAGGTTTCCCCCTGAGTTCCTGCTTTTTGCATGCTGCAAAAAAAGGAACCCCCGCGGATTCCCCCGAGTTGTCCTTGGCCGCGCACATTTTTCTCTGCCAGGAGAGGCGACGGAGGCGATTTCCTTCATTTGCCTGGCGAGAAGTTCTGTTCAGAAAGGTGCCCAAATGGTCAGGCCAAAACTTTATGACTATTTGGCAACGGATCTTTAGACTTCAACTTGTTTTTGTTGAAACTGGTCGGAGTTTTTGTTGGACCCACAAAAGTTAATCTTGTTTGCAGAGGGGTCAGCACCAACCAAGAGACAGGGGGGCCTTGTTTGTGTCCCAACTTGGTAACTGGGAACGCGTCCGCAATCTTTGAAGGGAAGGGGATGTTGGTTGACTTTTTTCAAGATGCCCTGTTCAAGGCGTTTCAAGTTTGGCGTGACTGCAACGACCTGGGCTTGTTCTGTTGAAACGGGTTCCCGCGCAGCGGGCCGATTTCGCGCCATTGAATGCCCTTGTTGGGCGGAAGGCTGGCGCGCCGTGCTGCCTCAGTTC